TTTTTTTTTTTCTATTTAAGGTCTTGTTCATCTCATCACAAGGTAAAACTCATTTCTGGTTCATGTTCTTAGCAGGAAAACATCTTCAGGCTAAAGAGTAAGAATGGGCCTAGTTGGAAAGTCCTTGCAGTTCCTCCTCTCTTGTATTAGCAGCACCCGAGGGTGACACGGTTGAGCACTTGATTTGAATAATGGCACTGAGGATTTCCAGGGGAAGCACCCAGGGTGACCTTTTGACTGGGGATCTTCTGACACAGGCAGATTTAAATAAAGAAAACCTGTGAGCCCAGAAGATTCTCCCTGGACTGCCATGCATTCATCCAACAAATACTGATTGCTCACCCAGTGTGGGTGCTCTGTGAGAGACTGAGGACACATCAGAAACAACAGGGACACGGGTGATGGCTTGCACTCATCAGGGGAGCTTTCCAAAGAGAATAGCACATGTGACAAGCTCTGGGTAGAGAAACAGTAAAAGCAGCTGCAGTGTGTAACTAGGGGACCTGGTAACAAGGGACCTAGCTAGGACTGGGAGTCCAGGGAGCCCTTCAAGGAGGCAGCACTGAGGGTGAGAATTAGAGGAGAGGGGGTGTCTGAGTTTACTGGGGCTGCTACATACCAGGTGGCTTGACACAGACATTGGTTCTCTCACAGTTCGGGAACCTGCAGGATAAGATCCTTCCCTGTGGAAGGCCATGTCTTTCTGATCAGGACACCAGCCATTAGATTAGAGGCCACCTCAATCCAGTATTATGTTGAACCAGATTACATCTGAAAAGACCCTATTTCCAAATAAGGTTGCATTCACAGGTACTACAGCTTAGGACTTGAGCACCTCTTTTTGGGGGACCCAATTCTACGCACTACAGGGAGCAACATAGATGGGTGAGCAGCCAGCAGAACCCTAAGCTGGAGACAAAGCTGGCTGGGCAGGAGATGGGGTCTTAGGGGACACAAAGAAGCAGGCATCCCCAGAGATGAGGGGAGGGGAGGGGAAAGAAGTGGGTCTGAGCACAATCACACTGAACCAGGGGACAGGGAAGAGCTACCGGGAACTCACCAGCTTTTTACTCTCTGAGAAAGGCCTGCTCAGGCTGGAGTGGGCCCCAAGGAGGTGGACATATGGGCAGGGAGTGGCAGCTATGAGTGTTTCCAGTCAGATGCACCTGTAATGTGACCGGCCTGCCCCTCTGCAGAACCAGAAGTGAGGCAGAATTTTCTGGCAATGACACACCCTCTGCTCTGGGAATCCAGACACTAAAAGTGTCCAATTTACCAGAGTTGCTGCCTGAGTGCCTGTCAGCAGGCAGCAGGCAGATCAGAAAGTGTCCTTCACAAATACATGGCACCTGGGCTATGCATATAAAATATAGTGTGGTCTCTGAGCGATACATATGCCACACACACACACTTTAAGTATCTTGATATATATGCTATATATATGATATACCTATATATGCTTGAAGTCTTAAAGACATATTTTATCACTATGTTTGTACACATGCGCACACACACACACATATGGCATATATATTTCAAAGACCAAAAGTTTCATGTTTGAAATAAAGGTTTATTTTCTGTGCAGGCTGTCATTGGTACGAGGTCATTCATTCATTCATTCATTCCACAAATATTTACAGAGTGCCATGTGCCGTTGGAGCTTAAGACAAAATCCCTGCCCTCCCGGAGCTGACTTTCTAGTGAGATGGGAGAGCTAATGGGTCAACTCAAACAACTGTGAGGAACGCTGAAAGGTGCCAAGAAAAGGGAGGGAAATACGGCAGGAGAGAGGAGGAGTGCCACAGAACCCGGGGGGGTTCTGAATGATAAATGCGGTGGCCAGTGAAGGCCCCGTGCCAATGGTGATGGCTGAGCAGCGACAGGAAAGGTGAGAGAGTGGGCAGCGAGGGTAGAGAGCCAGCAGGTGCAAACCCGGAGGCAGAGCCCTTGAGAGTCTGAGCGGTGACAGGCCCGGGTGGCAGGTGCGACGAGTGAAAAAACGTGGACATGATCGGGGTGGCAGGGCTGGACCACAGGGACCTCGAAGACCATCACAAGGCCTGTGGCTTTTCTCTGAATAGGATGAGAAGCCTTTGGGGGTTTTGAAGCAAAGATGTTATGTGCTCTGGCTTCCATTTCAAAGGGTCACCCTGGCTGCTGGTTTGAGAGAAGATTATAGAGGGACAAAGGCAGGTGCAGGGAGACCAGCCTCGGGCGGTTGCAATAATGCCAGTGAGAAATGCTGGTGGCTTGGACCTGGGCAGGGACAGTGGGCAATGGGAGGCGGTGATATTCTGGATCTGTTTTGCTGATGGACCGGCTATGATGGGTAAATGAGGAGGGTCGAAGGTTGACTGACTCCAGGGCTGTAGCCTGAGTGACTGAAAAGATGGGGTTGCCTTTAATGAAGATGGAGAAGTCAACAAATGGGGAGGCTTGAGGAGAGATCAGAAGTTTGTGGTGATGGTTAGACACCCAGCTGGAGATGAGGTGGAGGCAGCTGACTGTACCGGTCTAGAGGCCCAGCGGAGGGAGCATTTGGGAGATTCCATGTGAAGAGGACGTGGGCATCCCTAAGACCACAGGAACTCTCCAAGGACTTGTGTGCAAACAGAAAAGAGAGGACATCTAAGAATCAGGGCCTCAAGGCATATGTTGTGACTCTAAAATTTGGGGCTATGGAGAGGAAAATCAGCCAAAGGGGCCTGGGAGGAGGGGCCGAGGGGGAGGAGGCAGTGCAGGCAGGTGGGTGCTGGGAGCCAAAGGAGGGACACGTTTCAAAGAGGAGCTATTAACTGTGCCAAAGGCAGTTTAAGGTCAAGTAAAAGAAAAAAAAATCCTCCGAACAACCATTGAAGAAAGCACTTACATTTTGAAAATGAGGACAAGGGGTTCTCCTGACGCTCATGGATGCTCTGTTCTCACCTCTCGCACCAGACACAATAACTACCTGATCATCTTAAATATGAATCTCACTTTAGCTCTTGTCTGTCCTTCCCATTGGACGTCCAATCGCTGGTGTTACAGATTCAGCTGTGTTCCCTCAAATTCATGTGTTGAAGCCCTAATCCCCCAGTACCTCAGAATGTGACCTTATTTTAAATAAGGTCTTTAAAGAGGCGATTAAGTAAAAATGAGGTCATTAGGGTGGGGCTCTAATTCACAACAGAGAGACACCAGGGATTTAACCTCACATGGAAAAAGCCATGAGAGAATTCGGTCATCTGCAAGCCAAAGAGAGAGGCTTCAAGGGAAACCAAACCTGCCCAAATCTACCTTGGACTTCTAGGCTCTAGACTGCAAGAAAATAAATTTCTTTTTATGCCACCCAGTCTGCAGTGTTTTGTTATGGCAGCCCTAGCAAACTAATCCAACTGAAAAAAATTGTTTTTGTCTTTGCATCTCTGGTACCTAAAACAAATCATGGCCTCCCAAAAGCATCAATCACTGAATGAAAGGGCAACACAGGGCTTTTGACTTCAGACACAGAGATGTGTGTCACTGTATTCAAGATCAGGCTTGGCTGCTGAACAAGACAGAGATGTATTTTTCTCATATACATGAAGCCTAGAGGGAGGCAGTTCAGGACCAGCAGGGAGCCCTGCCGGGTAAGGGCTAGCTCATGGTTTCTACCTTTCAGCTGGCAGGATCAAGGAAGGGGCACTGCTCCCTCCTTCCCTCACCTGAAGAGCTCCTCAAAGAGCCCTGTGGGGATGGCTCAGTTAGTCAAGCATTGTCCTGTGCACTGAAAGGTTGCTGGTTCAATTCCAGGTCAGGGCACATACCTGGGTTGTAGGTTCAATACCTGGTGGGTCATGCAGGAGGCAATTGATCCATGTTTGTCTCTCACTCCAATCTCTCTCTCTCTCTCTCTCTCTCTCTCTCTCTCTTTCTCTCTCTCTCTCTAAGCATTGCCTCTGGGGAATACAACACCTGGTCACTGGCTGTAGGTCAGAGGAGGGCAGCAACTAATGGAGGGAGGGAAATGGGCAGCATTTTCTAAAGCCACCCCCATGATGGCACAGAGCCCCAGGATGGCACAGAGCAAGGTTGAGTCCTAAAGCTGAAGCATGACCACAACCAGAGGCCAAACAGCACCTGGTTAGAAAGCATGGACTCTGAAGTCAGGCTGCTTGGGTGTGCCTCCTGGCTCTGCCACCTATTAGATTCTCAGGAATGTGAATTACCCTCTCTAAGCCTCAGTTTCCCCATCTCTACAAAGGACAGGATCATCATACCTGACTCAGTGTTGATAAGAGAAAGGACATGCACCAGTTTGCCTGCAGCTTTAGATGGTGCCAGGTGCACAAAGGAGGCATCACAGCTGTCATTCTGGAGAGCAATCTGGACCAGGAGTAGAGGAACCTTTTCTATAAAGGTCAGAAAGCCAGTATTTTAGGCTTTGATAGCCATATGGTCTCTGTGGCATATTCTTTTATTTCCAACCCTTTGGAAATGTAGAAGTTCTTAGCTCAAGATCCTTGCAAAAACAGACCACTCAGCTGATCTAGCCAAGGGGCCATAGTTCAACAATCCCCGGAGATGTACATATGGTTGGGGAATGAGGCATGTTGGCTGGCTTCCTGCTCCTCGCAGGGCTGGACCAGGGACTGCAGGGGGAAGAGCCTTGCTCACAGGGGGACTAGCAGACTCGGTGATGAGGACCAGGCCAGGCAATGACTGGAGGCCTCTGGGGTGGAGCAGGCAGGGCTGCCATGTGCTCCTGCTCTGAGCCTGGGGCTCACCTGCTGGCATCATGGGCAAACAAGCCTAAGAGACACTTGAAGCTGGAGCCTCTGAGGACAGCAGGCAGTGTGTCATTCACTAGGGATGACCATTCATCCTGCCAGCAAACATCTGCAAGCACTATGTTCCAGGTGTTGTTCTAAGCTATGAATAAGACAGAAGGCCCTGGCTCTCCACCTGGAGGTCCTGGCTGGATGCTTGCACCTTTGCCAGTCCAGAGCTGGGCTCCTGTCCCGGTTGCAAGGATGACTCACCTTGGTGCATTCAGCCTTCAGTGGTTCTGGGCGTCCCTCTCCTTGGGGCTTAGGACTCTGGGAGCATGTTATTCAGTCTTTCTGGAGGGAAAAGAAGAAAAAGACCTGCTGAGTATGAAGAGGTCGCAGAACAACGGCCCACATGCATCGCTCAGCCGGCACAGTGGACAGGGAGCCCTTCAGGGAAGACCTCAGAGTTTTTGATAATGCTGCTCAGTCAAAAAAGGTCCCACTCACCACCCACAACACAGAGGTCCTGAGAGGCTCCTAACTGTGGGCTCTCAGCATCAAAGGAGTGTCAATATGAAGCAGAGATCTTTGAGTATCTCTCCCCTAAACAGAAATAAAAGATTGACTTTATTATAAAAATAGCTGAGTAGTTAACTATGCTTCAGGTGCCTGATACATCACTTAAGTTAGTCTTCACAACAATTCAATGTGGTATCACTGCTGCCATTTTACAGATTGGAAAGCTGAGGCTAAGCAAAGCTAACTACAATGCCTGAGGTCATTCCATTCCTAACAATGGGAGAGGGAATCAGAAACCTATGCACCGAGCTCCCCAGACACAGTGGCTCTCCCCTGTTCCCTGCCAGCATCGACACTGTATGGCAAATCGTACCTCGAGGTCACCCAGTTTTTATCTTGCCTCTTCTCTTGTGAGATGCCCTAGGCCTAGGCTTGTTGCAGGACACATGGCCAATCCCTAATGAATGTGCCAGCCAACAACTGGCAGGTGGCCTGAGTTTCTTTTTATAAAGAAATGAAAGTAATACCACTTTACACTTGAGAGCTGGGGGTTGAGGTGGGGGGGGGGGCACGGAAAAGTCAGTTCTGACCATCCCCGAATAGTGTGGCGGGATTACAGCGTCAAAGGACTAAATATCTGAGAGAGGGCATCGAGAAAGCTGCTGCTTGTTTTCAACTTGCAACTGCCCACACACCTGCGTCAGGGAAAATGAAATCTGCAGTCACCTGCGGACAGGGCCGACTTGGCATTCAGAGCAGGAGCCACGGGGATTTATGGTAAAAAGTCAGAGAGTGTGTCTTAGGTGTTGAAGGCCTTACGTTTCTCTCAGTACTCAGCTCCTCCATTGTAGCAGGAAAGCAGCCCTGGACAATATGTAAAAGAAGGGACAAAAAGCTGAGTTCCAATAAAACTTTACTTACAAAACCAGGTGGTGGGCCAGACTTGGTGTGCTGGCCATGGTTTGCTGACTCCCGTCTGAAACAGACACTGCCAGATGCCTATTTAATAGAATCGATTGTGAGGGAGGCACTCCCATATTTGATCTCCTTCCAACAATAGGTGTTTGCTGTGTGGGTACCGCGGGCCAGGCACTGGCCTAGGCATTGGGCTTCAGCCCAGAAAACACAACCTCCAACCCCAACAGGGGAGATGTGCGAATTTAGATGCCTCCTAGGCCTAAAGCTCAGGTACAGGCTGAGCAGAGAGGAGGAGAGAACTAGTCAGTGCTTGACCCCCAGCTGCCTCACACCCCTCATATCCTGATTCTCACAAACTCGCTATCAATGGGGAAACTGAGACCCAGAAGCCACAAAGCCTAGACTGAGGATACACCCTGAGTTTTCCTATGACTAATCCTGATCGCATTGGTTAATAATGATTAGCACTGAGCACTCATAGTGTGTTTCCATAGGTTACCCTATCTAACCATTTAATCTTCATAACCTGAAGTTACTATATATTATGGGTATGTGTGTAACATGCATGTAACATGTAATATTGCATGTTATACCAACAAGGACTTAAGAACGGTTGTCTGTCCTGTACTGATTACTGGGCCAGGATAAAGTCCAGGTTTTTTGATGCTCAGCCCTGTCTTTCAACACTGCCACGTCCTTCCTATAAGCCCTTAGCATTTGACAAGTACCCCAGGGGACAAGACACAGAGATGAAAGAGAAACAACTGTCTTGGAGACACTGGCTGCTGGGGGAAGGAGTGGGAGACCAAGCTGGGTGACACGGGGACTGATGTAAGGCTTTTCCAGAGCGAGAAAGCGGGCTAAAGGGCAGGGTTCTCTCAACCACAGTGGCACAGGCTTAGCAGCGGCCAAGGCGAGCACTGAACTTGGCCAAGCGTGCAGGGTTGTATAATAGCCTTGGCCCTGCTCGTCACTCCACAACACCACGGCAACCTTCGCACCAGAAAAACAAACTCACGGACGCTTGCCAATCGGAGGAGTAAACAGAAGGGTGATCACACACTGGGGACCCCGACATCCCTCCCAGTCCTGCAGGGCTAATAGTGAGCACGGTGACCAACATTTGAGGAGCACTTCATGTCAGGCACATGTGTGCCCGGTTTTGTATGCACCACACTATCTCAACAGTGCACCATGAACAGACCTTGGGTTAGGGGATAAAATCTTCCCATTTTCCGGATGAGGAAGCTGAGGATGAGGAACTTTCCTCAGATCACTGTGCTCTCTAGAGTGGATCTGGGATTTGATCTTAGGAGAAGATTCCAGAAGCTGTAGCCAGGGCCTCCGTGCTGCAGACAGGCAGCTGGGCATGTGGCAATGGAAACACAGATCCTGGAGCCTGGGGTTTCATGGAGTCAGAGCTCAGCTCTGTCATTTTAGCTGGAGCTGGTGACCGAGGATTAACTATGCTGAGCGTCCACTGTCTCGTGGTAGCATGGGGGTTCCCCAGGTCCCAGGCTGGTAATGAGAATGGAAGACAGAGGAAAAGTGGCTGCAGTAGTTCCCTCGTAACTGGCGTCTGGTCTCACGGGCCCACAGCCTCTACCACCTCGGAGAGTACAGCACGGGTCCTCCCTGAACCCCAGGCTTCTCTCCAGCTCCCACAGAGTCACTCCACCCTGCTGGGTGCACTCTCTGCTCCGTGAACTCCCAGCTCGGGTTCCCAAGCCTAACAAAGGCTACGGAAAACCCACCCGGATCACCCAGCTGCAGGGCTTCTTTCCTCCCTTCAAAGTCTGCCTTCAACTTTTCCTCCCCC